CCCCTCTTCTTTTCTCACTTTCTCATACATGTTCCAAAGTAATTTACCTATGTTTTATAGTAGTTTTCGACGTTTCAAAGTGCGTCTAAGCGTTCAAGAATCCTTCCATAACATGTGATCGAACACCTTGAATTCATAATTCCAATTCAAGGAAAGATAGTTCCAAGTCAAGTGAAGTTTCAAGTCGAGTAAGAGTCTTAGTTTCAAGCTAAGTCATGAGTTTAAAGTTGAATTCTCTTCAAAAAAAAAAAGAGAAAGCTATTAGGGAACTAAGTATTCCCAAAGGAGGTTGTAAATGCTTTTATATTTGAATAAGAAGGAAATCCTGTTTTTTTTCCCCAAAGAAGCCTTTGGGCTAAAGTTTTGAGTAAGTATCTCAATCAAAGAAAGAAGTTATTTTAAAAGCATGAGCCAAAGTATTTTTGGGAGTAGTATTGAGCACCGAATTGGGGACACGAGTTCATATTAACTCAACTCTCCATAAGAACCATGCGCCAACATGGGACTTGTCGTATCATTCTTTTTAGATGATCACGCAAGATTAGGCTAGTGGATCCACTAAGCAAAAGTAAGGTCCTATATCGATGGCAAGGTATAGGATGGTCCTTTGGCAACGTGAGGTAAAACGTTGTATCATCACTAAGGCTCGTAGTGGTGGTTGTCGGTTAAAGAACCTCCCACAAAAGCTGTTTTATGTTTATAAAAGAAAAGTGGAGTTTGTTGTCATTTTTATCCTTAACGATCTAAGTTGTTTACATTCTTTTACAAGCTTTATATGTGTGGCTCGTGTCTTATTGCTTTACTTTGAGTCCAGTTATGTATATGAGTCGTTTAGAGTCAAGGTAAGTGATCTCTTGTTCCCTTTTCAAGCTTAAGTTGTTTTTAGCGGTCCAGCTCGCATACTCGTACATTCCACGTACTGATGCCAGTTGGCCTGCATCGTTTTATGATGCAGACGCAGGTACCCAGGATCAGCACCCTGCACGCCGTTGATCCAGTTGGGCACTCTAGAGTCAGTGGTGAGCCTCCTTGCTTCCAAAGGGCTCAGTTATTTTGTTCTCTTAGTTTTGTTTATTAGGGTGTTGTGGGGTCTGTCCCAACATCCATCTAAGTATTTTAGAGGCTTCATAGACAGTCAGTCAGTTAGTTTTGAGTCTCTTATCTATGCATATATGTAAGTATTCTATTTTGAGACTCGAGTTGCCTTTTTGGCTAGATATGTATCATTTAAGTTGTTTATGCCTCTGCATAGCATTGAGTTATTTTGTTGAGTAGGTTTCCGCTGAGTTAAGAAAACCAGGCCAAGGGTTCGCTTGGGGCCATCAATGGTCTCCGAGTGCCGGTCCCGCCCAGGGTGTAGGCTCGGGGCGTGACAATACTTGTAAATAATTTTTTTATGCAATACATGTTATTTTTAATACATCAAACCGAATAATGTTATCTCGTGTATTAAGGTTAGCAAAACAGAAACAGAAAAATAGATGAAACAAATAGAAATAATAATCCGAGTCCACAGAACCCACTGTGTGTACCATCCGACAATTTGAAATAACTATGAAAAGGCTTAGAATTGGAAATTTTCATTTTTTGGAAAGAATTAAAAATCTGGAAAATTTGGCTAAGTATGGAAAATAATGAATTTTTGGACAACTTTTAACAGTTATAACTCCTAACTCAGGAAGATATAGGTGTGGTTCCAGTTATGGTTGCAAAGTTCGTGGATTGGTCTTTCCAACGCCATTGAGTTTGCTTGTTTCTGAGTTCGTATGAGTGAGTTATGCCCTTTGAAAGTTGGGCAGTTGGCAGGGAATTCGTCCGGAAATTTGTAAGGGCATTTTGGTCTTTTACCTAACCTTTTCTTTTGGATATATATGAGTGTATTGGACTGATTTTGATAAGTTTTTCTCATTTTTAAAGAGTGAAAGTAAGGGTTTAAGAGTGAAGAGGAGAAGAAGAGGAAAAAAAAGAGAAGATCAAGCTAGGTTTCGTTAAAGATCGTCGTGTTTTTCTTCGGGGGTGATCCCTATTAAGGTATGTGAGCTCATCGTGTTGGTTTGGTTCTTTCCCCCACACGCCAAGCTCGTTTAATTTCGAGAAAAGATTGATTATGTTTGATTGAAGTTGTTGGTTGGAATTGTTGAAGTTGTAGTTGTGTTGTGTCATAATTTTTGTTGGTTTGGTGTATGTTTCCGGTGGGGTTTTTGAGTTGAATCTAGTGTATGTTAAGGGTTTTGATGATCCTAAGTGTTTGGGGGATCAAGCTTTGAAGTTTAGAAGGTTTAGAGTTGGAGAAAAAGAGGAGAAAAGTCAAGTTTTTGGGGAAAAGGGTTGGGGCGTCGCGCCAGCCAGCGCGCCCTAAGAGGGACTCTGAGGTCCAGCCCTTGGGGGGCCGCCCCTACCAGAGCCCCAACCAGACCTCTCTGAAGTTTGAGGTGTGGCGTTCCGCGCCTCTCAGAGCGCCAAAAGTGCCAAGTCTTCCCATTTTTTCACCACTATGTCATACATGTTCCTAGGTATTGTACCTATCTTCCCAAGTTGTTTCCAACACCCCAAGGTACGTTTAAATATCAAGAACTCGTCCATAACACGTGATCAAACACCTTGAATCCATGATTCAAATTCAAGGAGAGTAAGTTTCCAAGTCAAGGGAAGTTAAGAGTTGAGTCTAGAAGTTCAAGAAGGGAGTCAAAGCAAGTCTTTAAAGCTTTCCAAGAGTCTTTGTTGAATGTTTTAAGGCTCAAGTTTCAAGTTAAGTCAAGTTTCAGGTTAAGTCAAATTTCAAGTTAAGTCAAGAGTTTAAAGTTGAGTTCATTTCTCAAAAGTTATTAGGGAACTATGTATTCCCAAAAAAGTTTCTAAATGTTTTTACATTTGAGTAAGAAAGGAACTATGATTCCAAAAGAGCGTTTGGGCTAATTTTCAAGAAAGAGGAACATCGATTCCAAGTGAGCCTTCGGGCAAAGTTTTGAGTAATTATCTCAAATAAAGAAAAATGTGTTTAAACACTTATGAGCTAAGTATTTTTGGGAGTAGTCTTGAGCACCGAATTGGGGACACGAGTTCATATAAACTCAACTCTCCATAAGAACCATGCGCCAACATGGGAGTTAACGGGTCATACTTTTTAGATGAATCCGTAAAGTTAAGCTAATGGATCCACTTAGTAAAGTTAGCTTCCTATATCACGGCAAGGTATAGGATGGTCCTTGGGCAACGTGAGGTAAAATATTGTATCACCACTAGGGCTCATAGTGGTGATTGTCGGTTGAAAGAGTCTCCCACTAAAGTTATATTACTTTTATATAAGTAAAGTTGAGTTGTTATTGTTTTATCTTTAACAAGCTAAGTTGTTTACACTATTTTGCAAGCTTTATATATTGCATTTGTCGTATTGCTTTATATATTGAGTTCAGTTATTCATGAGTTGAACAGAGCCAAGGTAAGATTTCCTTTGTACTCTTTTCAAGCTTAAGTTGTGGTTTAGCTTTCCAGCTCACATAATCGTACATTCAATGTACTGATGTCAGTTGGCCTGCATCTTATTATGATGCAGACACAGGTACCTAAGGCCAATATCTGGTTCACCGTTGATCCAGTTGAGTACTTAAGAGTTAGTGATGAGCCTCTTTGTGTTCCGGAGGACTCGATTATTTTGTTCTCTTAGTTTTGTTTCATTAGGATGTTGTGCGGTCTGTACCAATATCCATCTTAGTATTATAGAGGCTTCATAGACAGTCAGTCAGTTGGTTTTGAGTCTCTCATCTATGTATATATGTAAATATTCTATTTTGGGACTTGAGTTGCCTTTTTGGCCAGATTTTTATCAGTTAGGTTGTTTTATAAACTTGTATTGCATTGAGTTGTTGTCGAGTTAAGTTTCTGCTGAGTTAAGAAAGTCAGGCCAAGGGTTCGCTTGGGGGCCAGCAATGGTCTTCGAGTGCCGGCCATGTCCAGGGTATAGGCTCGGGGCGTGACAAACTTGGTATCAGAGCAAGTTCCAGAGTCCTAGGGAGTCTATGAAGCCGTGTCTGTAGAGTCCTAGTTATCGGTGTGAAGCGCGCCACATCTATGATTGAGAGGCTACAATATTTAGGAAAATTTTTCATTTCTTTCACACTCATCTCGTGCGTTAGAGTTGATCTCTAAAAAGTTTCTGTCTAATTCGTGCTTACGCATGTTTCAGATAGTCATGCCTCCACGAGAGTTGGCAGAAGGCATCTTCCTAGGCGTTATGTTGATGAGCAAGAGTTACCATATGCCTCAGGAGTGCAACCGCAAGGGGAAGTTTCTAATGCCGAGTTCAGAGAGGCAATTAGAATTCTGAGTCAAGCTGTAACTACTCAGATTGGTCAGCAAAGGGGAGTTCGCCAGGAAGGAGCTGCCACTTCTAGGATTCGTGAGTTCTTGGGGATGAATCCTCCGAGTTTCATGGGTTCAAGCACTACTGAGGATCCAGAGAATTTTATTGAGGAGTTGAAGAAGATTTTCGATGTGATGCATGTGGCAGATACTGAGCGGGTTGAACTAATTGCATATCAATTAAAAGATGTTGCTAGAACTTGGTTCGACCAATGGAAAGGGGGCAGAGTTGAGAATGCACTACCTGCGAGTTGGGCCTGTTTTAAGCAAGCTTTCTTGGGGCGTTTCTTTCCTCAAGAATTGAAAGAGGCCAAGGTATGTGAGTTCCTCACACTTAAGCAGGAGTCTTTGAGTGTTAATGAGTACAGTCTGAGGTTCACACAACTCTCCCGTTATGCTCCGGAGATGGTTGCGGACATGAGGAGTAGAATGAGTTTGTTCGTTGTGGGATTGTCTCGATTGTCGAGTGAAGAAGGTAGGGCTGCAATGCTTATCGGGGACATGGACATATCAAGGTTGATGGTCTATGTGCAGCAAGTTGAGGAAGAAAAGTTGAGGGACAGAGAAGAGTTCAGAAAAGAGAGAGCTAAGACCAGTAATGAGTCCGGGCAGCAGAAAGGTAATGCGAACCGTCCATCCTTTCAACAAAGGCAAAGGGGACCTGTTCCATCATCTGCTAGTGCACCTGTACCCAGAAATAAAAGTGAGTACACTGGATAGAGTTCGCAGAATTTCAGAGCTGGACCTGCACAGTCTTAGAACAGTGTGGCACAAGGAAGTAACCAGGTTCTTGCATGTGCTAGGTGTGGTAGAGTCCATCCAGGGAAGTGTCGTCAGGGCCAGACGGGTTGCTTTAAGTGTGGGCAAGAGGGTCACTTCATGAAGGAGTGCCCAAAGAACAAGCAAGGTAGTGGAAATCTAGGCAGTAGGGCCCAATCTTCTTCAGTTGTCCCACCAGACAGGATGGCACCTAGAGGAGCTACTTCTAGTACCGGTGGAGGAGCAAATCGCCTCTATGCTATCACCAGTCGCCACGAGCAAGAGTACTCTCCGAATGTTGTCACTGGTATGATCAAAGTCTTTGCTTTTGATGTGTATGCTTTGCTAGACCCAGGAGCAAGTTTATCTTTTGTAACTCCTTATGTTGCAAAAAAGTTTGATGTTCTTCCTGAAAGACTTTGTGAACCCTTTTGTGTTTCTACACCTGTTGGGGAGTCTATTCTAGCAGAAAGAGTTTATCGTGATTGTCCTGTTTCCATCAATCAGAAGAGCACCATGGCTGATTTGGTTGAGTTAGATATGGTAGATTTCGATGTCATTCTAGGTATGGATTGACTTCATGCTTGTTATGCATCGATAGATTGTAGAACTCGAGCAGTCAAGTTTCAGTTTCCGAAGGAGACAGTTATAGAATGGAGTAGCAGTTTAGCAGTGCCTAAGGGTCGTTTTATTTTTACCTTAAGGCGAGAAAGTTAGCCTCAAAGGGTTGTATCTATCACTTAGTCCGAGTTATTGACTCTAGTGTTGAGATACCTCCTTTGCAGTCAGTTCCTATTGTAGGAGAGTTTCCAGAAGTGTTTCCTGATGATCTACTCGGAATTCCTCCTGAGAGAGAGATAGAGTTCGGCATAGATCTCATTCCAGATATTCATCTTATCTGTATTCCGCCATATAGAATGGCACCAGCTGTGTTGAAAGAGTTGAAGTAGCAGTTGAAAGATCTCCTAAAAAAGGGTTACATTCGACCGAGTGTCTCACCTTGGGGTGCTTCGGTCTTGTTTGTGAGAAAGAAAGATGGTTCCCTTAGGATGTGTATAGATTACCGCCAGTTGAATAGGGTTACCATTAAGAATAAGTACCCTATTCTGTGGATCGATGATCTTTTCGATTAGCTACAGGGTGCCACTTGTTTTTCGAAGAATGACCTCAGGTCAGGCTATCACCAGTTAAGAGTAAGGGAATGCGATATTCCAAAGACAACATTCAGAACTAGATATGGTCATTTTGAGTTTTTGGTTATGTCCTTTGGTTTGACCAATGCCCCGGCAGCTTTCATGGACCTTATGAATAGAGTCTTCAAATCTTATTTAGATGTGTTTGTTATCGTTTTCATTGATGACATACTAATCTATTCAAGGAATGAAGAAGATCATGCTAGTCATCTCAGATAGTCCTTCAGACTTTGAAAGATAAGGACTTGTATGCCAAGTTCTCTAAATGTGAGTTTTGGCTTAAGTCTGTGGCGTTCCTAGGCCACATTGTGTCCGGTGATGGTATTAAAGTTGATACTCGGAAAATTGAGGTAGTGCAGAATTGGCCTAGCCCACATCTCCTACAGAAATTAGGATTTTCTTGGGATTAGCTGGCTATTATAGAAGGTTTGTTAAAGGGTTCTCGTTTATTGCATCTCCTTTGACAAAGTTGACTCAGAAGACAGTGAAGTTTCAATGGTATGAAGCTTGTGAGAAAAACTTTCAGGAATTGAAAAAGAGGTTGATTACAGCTCCAGTTTTGATGTTACCAGAAGGTACTCAAGGTTTTGTGGTGTATTGTGATGTATCTAGAGTTGGTTTGGGTTGTGTCTTGATGCAGAATGACAAAGTTATAGCTTATGCCTCCAGACAGTTGAAAGTTCATGAGAAGAACTACCCAACCCATGACTTAGAGTTGGCTGATGTAGTTTTCACTTTGAAGATATGGCGTCATTACTTGTATGGTGTGCATGTTGAAATATTCACTGATCATAAGAGCCTTCAATATGTGCTTACTCAGAAAGAGCTGAATCTCAGACAAAGGAGGTGGTTAGAATTCCTTAAGGACTATGACCTGAGTATTCTTTATCACCCAGGTAAGGCTAATGTCGTTGCTGATTCTTTAAGCAGGTTGTTTATGGGTAGCACCGCCCATATTAAAGAAGAGAAGAGAGAGTTAGCAAAAGATGTGCACAGACTGGCATGCCTGGGAGTCAGCCTTATAGACTCCGCTGAAGGGGGAATAGAAGTGACGAGCAGGGCCGAGTCATCACTAGTGTCAGAAGTGAAAGAGAAACAAGACCAAGATCCATTTTGCTTGAGTTGAAGGCAAATGTTCAAAAGCAAAGAGTATTAGCTTTTGAACAAGGGGGAGATGGTGCTTTGAGATTTCAAGGTAGATTGTGTGTACCTATGATAGATAAACTCCAAGAGAGGGTGATGGATGAAGCTCACAGCTCCAGATATTCCATTCATCCAGGTTCCACGAAGATGTATCGTGACTTGAGAGAAGTTTATTGGTGGGATGGCATGAAGAAAGGCATTGCAGAGTTTGTTACTAAATGTCCAAATTGCCAACAAGTGAAAGTTGAACACCAAAGGCCCGTTGGTTTAGCTCAGAGTATAGAACTTCCGGAATGGAAGTGGGAGATGATCAATATGGATTTCATCACAGGGTTGCCAAAGTCTCGCAGACAACATGATTCTATTTGGGTAATTGTCGACAGAATGACAAAGTCAGCCCATTTTCTACCGGTAAAGACTACCAACTCAGTAGAAGATTATGCCAAGTTATATATTCAAGAGGTGGTGAGACTTCATGGAGTACCAGTCTCCATTATTTTAGATAGAGGTGCACAATTCACTGCACAGTTCTGGAAATCTTTTTAGAAAGGCTTGGGTTCCAAGGTGAACTTGAGTACTGCCTTTCATCCTCAGACTGATGGGCAAACCGAGCGTACTATTCAGACTTTAGAAGATATGGTGAGGGCTTGTGTGATCGATTTCAAAGGTAATTGGGATGATCACCTACCTCTCATTGAGTTTGCCTACAATACCAGTTATCACTCCAGCATCCAAATGGCTCCATACGAAGCTCTTTATGGGAGACGATGTAGATCTCCTATTGGATGGTTTGAAGTTGGTGAAGCAGGGTTGATAGGACCAGATTTAGTTCACCAAGCTATGGAGAAGGTGAAAGTGATTCAAGAGAGATTGAAAACGGCACAAAATCGCCAGAAATCCTACGCGGATGTTAGGAGAAGAGCGTTAGAGTTTGAAATAGATGATTGGGTATATTTGAAAGTTTCACCCATGAAAGGGGTTATGAGGTTTGGCAAAAAGGGGAAACTTAGTCCCCGGTATATTGGACCTTACCGCATAGCCAAGAGGATTGGCAACGTTGCATATGAGTTGGAGTTGCCGCAGGAACTAGCAGCGGTTCATTCGGTATTTCATATCTCCATGTTGAAAAAGTGCATAGGTGATATTCTTTGATCCTGCCGACTGAAAGTGTAAGGATCAAGGATAACTTATCTTATGAGGAGATTCCTGTGCAAATTCTAGACCTTCAAGTTCGTAGGTTGAGAACGAAGGATGTAGCATCAGTCAAGGTCCTTTGGAGGAACCGATTTGTTGAGGAAGCCACTTAGGAATCCGAAGATGATATAAAGAAGAGATATCCATATCTCTTTGAATCCAGAGGAAATGTAGACCAAGGTACTAATTTCCTTCTTAGTGCTCTTTAAATTTTAGTGAGCATGTTGTTGCTTGTTGTTGTTTGCATGAATTGCTTGTTGGGTGTTTGAGTTTGATGTTACACCCTTAGCCTTGTTAGAGTAATCTCATTCGAGTACGAATGTTCCCAAGGGGGAGATATTGTAACATCCCACAATTTGAAATAACTATGAAGAGGCTTAGAATTGGAAATTTTCATTTTTTGGAAAGAATTAAAAATCTGGAAAATTTGGCCAAGTACGGAAAATAATGAATTTTTGGCCAACTTTTAACAGTTATAACTCCTAACTCAGGATGATCTAGGTGTGGTTCCAGTTATGGTTGCAAATTTCATGGATTGGTCTTTCCAACGCCATCGAGTTTGCTCGTTTCTCAGTTTGTATGAGCGAGTTATGCCTTTTAAAAGTTTGGCAGTTAGCAGGGAATCCGTCCAGAAATTTGTAAGGGCATTTTGGCCTTTTCCCTAGCCTTTTCTTTTGGATATATATGAGTGTGTGGGACTGATTTTGATCAGTTTTTCTCATTTTTAAAGAGTGAAAGTAAGGGTTTAAGAGTGAAGAGGAGAAGAAGAGGAAAAAAAAAAGATCAAGCTAGGTTTCGTTAAAGATCGTCGTGTTTTTCTTCGGGGGTAATACCTATTAAGGTATGTGAGTTCATAGTGTTGGTTTAGTTCATTCCCCCACACGCCAAGCTCGTTTAATTTCGAGAAAAGATTGATTATGTTTGATTGAAGTTGTTAGTTGGAATTGTTGAAGTTGTAGTTGTGTTGTGTTGTAGTTCTTGTTGGTTTGGTGTATGTTTCCGGTGGGGTTTTTGAGTTGAATCTAGTGTATGTTAAGGGTTTTGATGATCCTAAGTGTTTGGGGGATGAAGCTTTGAAGTTTAGAAGGTTTAGAGTTGGAGAAAAGGAGGAGAAAAGTCAAGCTTTCGGGGAAAATGGTTGGGGCGTCGCGCCAGCCAGCGTGCCCCAAGAGGGCCTCTAAGGTCCAGCCCTTGGGGCGCCACCCCTACCAGAGCCCCAACCAGACCTCTCTAAAGTTTGAGGTCTGGCGCTCCGCGCCTCTCAGAGCGCCAAGTCTTCCCATTCTTTCCCCACTTTCTCATACATGTTCCTAGGTATTGTACCTATGCTCCAAAGTTGTTTCTAACACCCCAAGGTACGTTTAAACGTCAAGAACTCGTCCATAACACGTGATCAAACACCTTGAATCCATGATTCCAATTCAAGGAGAGTAAGTTTCCAAGTCAAGGGAAGTTAAGAGTTGAGTCTAGAAGTTCAAGAAGGGAGTCAAAGCAAGTCTTTAAAGCTTTCCAAGAGTCTTTGTTGAATGTGTATACTTCATTTTAAGGCTCAAGTTTCAAGTTAAGTCAAAAGTTTAAAGTTGAGTTCATTTCTCAAAAGTTATTAGGGAACTATGTATTCCCAAAGAAGTTTCTAAATGTTTTTACATTTGAGTAAGAAAGGAACTATGATTCCAAAAGAGCCTTTGGGCTAGTTTTCAAGAAAGAGGAACATCGATTCCAAGTGAGCCTTCGGGCAAAGTTTTGAGTAATTATCTCAAATAAAGAAAGATGTGTTTAAAACACTTATGAGTTAAGTATTTTTGGGAGTAGTCTTGAGCACCGAACTAGGGACACGAGTTCATATAAACTCAACTCTCCATAAGAATCATGCGCCAACATGGGAGTTAACGGGTCATACTTTTTAGATGAATCCGTAAAGTTAAGCTAGTGGATCCACTTAGTAAAGTTAGCTTCCTATATCATGACAAGGTATAGGATGGTCCTTGGGCAACGTGAGGTAAAACGTTGTATCACCACTAGTGCTTATAGTGGTGATTGTCGGGTGAAAGAGTCTCCCACTAAAGTTATATTACTTTTATATAAGTAAAGTTGAGTTGTTATTGTTTTATCTTTAACAAGCTAAGTTGTTTACACTATTTTGCAAGCTTTATATATTGCATGTGTCGTATTGCTTTATGTATTTAGTTCAATTATTCATGAGTGGAACAGAGCCAAGGTAAGAGTTCCTTTGTACTCTTTTCAAGCTTAAGTTGTGGTTTAGCTTTCCAACTCGCATACTCGTACATTCAATGTACTGATGCCAGTTGGTCTGTATCTTATTATGATGCAGACACAAGTACCCAGGGCCAGCATCTGGATCGCCATTGATCCAGTTGAGTACTTCCGAGTCAGTGGTGAGCCTCTTTGTGTTTCGGAGGACTCGATTATTTTGTTCTCTTAGTTTTATTTCATTAGGATGTTGTAGGGTTTGTCCCAACATCCATCTCAGTATTATAGAGGCTTCATAGACAGTCAATCAGTTGGTTTTGAGTCTCTCATCTATGTATATATGTAAATATTCTATTTTGTGACTTGAGTTGCCTTTTTGGCCAGATTGTTATCAGTTAGGTTGTTTTATAACCTTGCATTGCATTGAGTTGTTATCGAGTTAAGTTTTCGCTGAGTTAAGAAAGCTAGGCCAAGGGTTCGCTTGGGGGCAAGCAATGGTCTTCGAGTGTCGGCCACGTCCAGGGTGTAGGCTCGGGGCGTGACACTGTGTTTGCTTAAGAAATGTAATCCCCTCAAGTACCCGAGGTTGCAGATTAATTCCTCCCAAGATAAAATGGATTAACCTATTAGAGAAGTAGTGATACCTCAAACTTCAATAATTTCAGCGAACGCAAGAACAGTAACGAGAGCACACACAGACTCAGTCGATCGATAATTTGTTTATGTAAGAAAATATATGCAGAGTGGAAAAAAATTTCAGTGAATGAAAAATGAAAAAAACCTCTTATTTATAGCCATTTGCAGCAAGGAACGCGTCTGTTCGGACAATGGTGTCATTCCAGAACATTGTATCTTTTTGGACAAAGTAACGCCTTTACGGAAGAAACAGGTCCCTTCAGAACGTTTTTACCGTTACACGCGAATTTTAAATAAATTCCGTTACGCGAAATTAATTATGTTAATTAACTAACATTCTGAATTAATTTATAAGAGAAAGGAAATCAATTAATGAGATTGATTAATAAATTTTGTCCAAAAATATTATCAATCAATCACATCATTTGCCGAAGCCGAAGCTGAGCGACGACGGCGTGAGGGGCCCCTTCTTCTTAACCCTTTAAGAACTAAAAGAAGTGTTTCCTAATATAAGGACAACAATTTTCCTTTCTTCTTTCAATATGGGAGAAATGACTTTTCATTTGTAATTTGCAATGACTTTTCATTTTCCCTCCAAAATTGGTTCCCCCACATTTCCATTTTCTCTTCTTATTTCTCATTCACACCTTGCTAAAATCCAACAAATAATGCATAAGAAATAATATATGTATAACTAATGTCAAGCATTACTAATACAAGTATTATTAATACACTATATTTAACATTATTCTTAATTTCTTATACACTCTATCAAATGATCCCTTACTGATTTAGTAATGAGAATTTCTTTGTAGGAAACAAAATTAGCTAACCATATATTGCTTATTAGTTTTCTCTTGCTTAGAAATTGTTTATTTGAAGTGTTGAAATTTTTCCTTTAATACTATTCCCTGTTAAGGAGAAGTTTTTCCAATAATGTATCAAAGTGTTTCCATGAATTCAGATCTCCATGTGTTTCAATTTGTTTGTCTAGTTTTGAATTGACACAGGTATGTAGAATGCACAAAAATGCTCTTTAATCACGTGGTCTTAAATATGTCACGTGAAAAGTTAGAGTTAAAGAGTTGTCAAAAAAGGAAAGAAACATTTTTTAATTTTTTAAATTGACTAAAAAGAAAAGTAAAACAAACAAATTGAAATTGAGGGAATCTGAGGTTGGCTCTGAGGACGAACCTTTAAACGGGATAATCTCTCTTCTTCTTAGTTCATCATATTGAAGGTATCCCATATAACCACAAGCTGAGGCTGTCCAAAATTGGACATCAAGGATGCCAAATTCTTGTGCAGCCTTAATGGCAAAGCTCATCATCCCATCTGATATTATACAAGAAATTGGTGAAATGACCGGTGATGAAATAAGCTTTGATAGTAAATCCCAAAAATGAGTCAAGCAGTTCTTCCTTATCGAGTCACATAAGGAAGCAGGATCTTGAGTTACATCACGATCTGATGGTGGCAATCCTTCCGGGATAGTCTCAAATTGGAAATCTTGGAAGCCTTTCACAAAGTTAGGGCCTTGTGATCGGATTAGACGTTTATGGTTATATTCAGTGTTGACATGTAGAATGTTCCAAAATGTTCTTAATCATGTGGTCTTAAATATGTCTTATGGAAAGTTAGAATTAAAGAGAAGAAAAGAAAAGAGCCATTCTTTTTAAACTGACTAAACAGAAAAATAAAACAAACAATTTGAAATGGAGGGAGTATGAGGTTGAGGTCTGAGAACGAACCTTTAAACGGGACAATCCCTCTTCTTCTTAGTTCATCAAATTGAAGGTATCCCATATAACCACAAGCTGAGGCTGTCCAAAATTGGACATCAAGGATGCCAAATTCTTGTGCTGCCTTAATGGCAAAGCTCATCATCCCATCTGATATTATACAAGAAATTGGTGGAATGAACGGTGATGAAATAAGCTTTGATAGTAAATCCCGAAAAGGAGACAAGCAGTTCTTCCTTATCGAGTCACATAACAAAACAGGATCTTGAGTTGCATGGTGATCTGATGGTGGAAATCCTTCCGGGATAGTTTCAAATTTGAAATCCTGGAAGCTTTTCTCAAAGTCAGGGCCTTGGGATTGGATTAGACGTCTATGGTTATATTCAGTGTTGACAAATGTTACATAGAAACCTCTTGAGTGCAAAATTTTGTCTAATTTCATGAATGGTATTACATGACCTTGTACAGGAAATGGTACACACACTGCATGAGGCGTCTTGTCCATGTTTAGTACAAGGATTTTGTTTCTTTTCACTTGTGGACTAATATTGTCGATTGAGTCCCATTTTATACTCCAATTAGGGGCGTTCTCGGGTAAATATTATCCAAGTTGAAAAATTGAACTAAATCGATTTTATTTGGGTTTGATTTGGTTTGATTTTACATTTTAAAAAATTGATAATATTTCATCTAGTTTTGATTTGGTTCAAAAAAACCGGAACAAATAACCGAACCGATCCAAACCAATAAACTCAAGAGGAGAACATTTATCTTGTTGGTTTCATATGTATAGAAGTCATAGAGTGTCATTGTCACTTCCTTGTCTAGGCCAATAGTGATGAATTTTGGAGCTTTATTCATAGTAAGTTCAGTGATAAGAGGTTTTGTAATACTAGTCGTGCTAACTGACCGGTGAACGCCCCTAACTCTAACGTTGGCACTGTTTCATTTCATAATGCTCTCAGACTTTTATAATCTTTGTTCATCTTTTGTTTTGCTTCTTATGCCAATAATTTGTATGACTATTCCAACAAATATCTTAAATTTCAGATAGCATAATCACTCAGCAACTATAAGATCTTTCATTTTCAGTATTTAGCAGTACAAACATTTAAAACTCATTTCCAACATTGATTCTACATTATTGAGAATCTTTGAATTGAGGTATAGATGCATGAGCACCATAAAAGGGTGATAAGGATATAACGTCTTTACATTACAGGACCAATAATATGCCCCAATTATTTGTCATGTAGGATGCCACGTAGGTCGTGTGTCTATTTGTTCAATTTTATACAAGTTTAAGTGTCTACTTGTGCACACCCAAAGTTGATGACATGAATATGAAATGAGGCCAAGTTAAAGAGCATATATTTATGTATTATGCCAATATTCTTTTGTGGGTTTATGTGCATCTTAGGATATGTGGTTGACTTCATCAGCAAGTGATCATCTAAATAGAGCAGCTGCAACACAATTGAATTTTACTAAAATATGAAAAAAGTCTCAACAATTATTTTGAACGTTCTGCGCGTTCTTGTCCGTGCCATTTGCTATCCGTAGGTGTCATATATAACTTGTTTTGCGTCTTTCTTTTCGGATCAAATCTATTGGGTATATAAAATAATCAACTCCTTATCACTTGTGTATAACAACAAAAGAAAGAAGTAATATGTGGATCGATTTAACATGCAGATTGAGTACTAATTTTTAATTTAAGTTGATGACTTAGGGGAAGTGTTTTTTTTTTTGTGGAGGAGAATTATATTGAAAGTTGAGAATAGTTGGAATTGATTTCCAAATAGACATGTATAGGAATCTTCTTTGATATTTTTGTGCAACTATTACTTAAGTGATCATTGGTCATGTTACCGGAATCTTCATTGATTTTGAATAATCATATCTATCTTTCTATATTACTAGATAGGCATGTGCCTGTGCTTAGCACGGCCCAACACTGCAACTTATATTTATATACAACTAGTTATGGAGACGTGCGAAGCACGTGACTCCTCTGAACACATTATTACGATTTGAGTTATATATGTCAAAATCACATTGTAATGAGTATCACAAACTATTCATAAAAAAAAAAACAACAATTTAAAATAGATGAACTATCAACCTATTCAAATAACATATTTATTGTATGTCAAATGATTAGACAATCGATGAATCTACAAGATTTGGACAACACAACTTCATTGGGTAACTAAAATTAATACATAGTTAAATTTTTATGATATTAGGTCCAAACATGTTATATATTAATATGAACAAAAATTAATATACAAAAATGATTAAATGATTCCGATTTGATTGCAGAAGGAAATTTCTACATACCATATACTCGATAGTTATCCTCTATTATATCATCCAATGAGAACACTAAAACCCAATTATGTAGTCAGGGAAATAACTTAAACACTTACATAATATAAGTTAGCTACATATATATCAAACATTTATATCCCTTATATGATTTTTTTTGTACATGATGTATTTAACACCTTGAGTTTTAAGGGAGACATGTAATGTCAGACACCCCAAATTATGTGACAGTCTTGGCTAATCGAGAGTCAATTCGATTAATTTTACGAAGATAAGTTGGATCAAATTAACTCAATATTATATAATAAAAAATACATATATTCAAAAAATTATACAAAAAGTATTGTAAGTTGTAATTTTTAAAATATTAATTAAAATTTATATAATTTAAATTTCAAGAAATGAAAAATATCACACAAATTGAGACGGAGAAACTAACAATTTTGTATTTGATGTTGTAACACTCTTCTATTCTTCGTACCGAATTATTGCTAAAGCTCTTGTGAATCTTCTTCTGCAATCAAATAGGTTTTACAATTGTATTGTAATAAGAAGAAAACATGAATAATGATGAAATATGAAAAAATTAACGAAAATTATAAACCCAATATACATAAAATATGAGCTGTATAGGAAAAATTCATTTATAAACTAATAGAGAAATAGTAACAGTTACTGGAAACTTTCACACTTCTTCCATAAAGTTTGTAACAATTGATTGTGGGTTCAGTTTTGTTTTGTTAGAAACTTTTAGTATTCTTCACTAAGGTGCTATTAAAATAAATTTTTAACCGATGCAGTTCTTAAGTTGCAAGTCTTTTTGGGCATTTATACAAATAAGATAAAACAAAATAATAGGAAGAAGAATGAAAAAAAAGGAGAAACTAAATAAAAAACAATCCTAGCTTTTAAGAGTGTGTATTTACATTTTTGTCCATAAATATATAAGAATAGCGTTTAATAGAATATAATAGTATTTGTTTATAATTAATGTGTACATTTTTGTTCATCAATATTATGACATTATAAGGACACTTCAACTTCTGACTTGGAGGCTTCCCACTTATAATATAATATGATTATTATACAAAGCTAACTATGGAAATAGCCACGAAGCAAAAGGAACATCAAACTAATTTAATTCAATGACATCCAATTCAACTATAAAGATGAACAGTCTACACTGAAAACTAATAAGTCGTCTCCAAGGATACGACCAACCTAGGGTTTTCTTTTGGTGGCTCACTCCTTCATCAGCAACAGTTTCGCAGCTCTCATGGCTGCTATTAGGGGTGTATATACATGATCGGGTTGGTTCGGATTTTTCAAATATCCAAACCATTTGTGTAAAAAATTTAAATTTTTAAACCAAACCAAACTAATAAAATTCGGATTTTTTCGGGGTTTTCAACCTCGGGTTGGTTCGGGTTTTTCAAATACCAAACCAAATCATTGTGTCGAATTTTTAAATGTATAAATCAAACCAAACTAATATACCTCAGATTTTTTCAGATTTTTAGATTTTTCGGTAAAGTTTGCATACAAACATGTAATCAACTTGTGCTCCAAATATTTCTTTAGTCCAACCAAAATACAATTATCTAAGGTGTTTCTTAAGAAAATAACACAAAATATGAGATAAGTACTGATGACACTAAAATATTCAATAAAAAATAATAATGAAATCATCATATAAAATAAATATTGCAGAGTCATAATGAAAATGATCATAATTTAAAAGTACTAAATCATGTTAAAATAAATTTAACAAGTATTAGTTACATTACTAAATATTTAAGAAAAATTAAAATTAGATTATGTATTTTAATTGTCTAAACCAATGTAAACCTAAAGAACAAATATTCAATATTATTCACTACTAAAAAAACAGTGTTTAGCGACGGATAAATCCGTCGCCAATAGACATATATCCGTCACTAAACTATATTTGCGATGGATTAGCGATGAAATGTTGACCGTTATAATTTTTCTTGTAGCTAACCCCTTTGCGACGGCAAAATTGATTCCGTAGCAAGATTAGCGACGATTTAGCGACATATGATATCCGTAGTAAAATGGTAGCGACGGAAAGTTTTGTCGCTAGATTTATATATTTCGTTGCAAATTACATAAATGAATTCGTCGTCCTATAATTTTACGACGAAAATAATTTATCGCTAATCCGTCGCAAACTTTTGGCAACCAATTAATATTTGTCGCAATCCGTCACCAATTTTAATTCTTTAACTATTCCCAAAATTCGTCGCAATTTCCATCGTTAAATTTGTCGTAGGTATAATTCTTTCTATTCATTTTATTTATTTATTTATAATATATAGAAAATGTAAATTATTAAACATCCTAATAATAACAAATATTCATATAACATAAATGTTACTTCATATATAACCCGTGCACCAAAACATATATTCATCTAATATTAAGTCCAAAACATCTACACCAAGTATCAAACATCTAGCAATTACTAATGTTTAGAACTCGTAATTGTTACTGCATAATTTGTTTTCCTTTAACAAAAATCAGATAAGAAAAACTAATGCTAGGGAGAAGAAATATGGTCATCATCTGAAACAACCTTATTAGGCACCATAGGTGTTGCTGATGATGCGTCACCAATAGGAGTATCAGCTGATTGATGTGATGGTAAAGAAGTTACACCTCGTATGCGCTCAAGTAATATAGGAATCATGTGATCAGTCAATGCAGGAATCAATTTCTTCACGAACTCATCCATATTTTCCATCGGTGCAGATTGAGAAACAGATGGTGGTATTGATGATGAAGCATCAGATTGAGAAGAGATACAAAGATTTGGTCCATAGTAACTTTTTGCTTGAGTTCCAAGACCATATATTCTTCTCTTCTTTTCTCCACCTGCAGCTTGATAATATGCGTCACGTTGATCAATATCAGATTCAGACTCAATTTTCTCACGTAATATTTCTTCATATCTTTCCTGCAATAAGTAGAGACATTAAAATTATAATAAAGAATACTAACTATAAGTTTTCTCCAAATAAAAAGAATATGAATGTCAAAAGTCGATAATTTTATAAATTCTACTTACATGAACAATTCGTGCTCGCTCATCAACAAAAGATTTTCCATCGTGATCATGTGTGTGGACGTGCAAATGGAGCTCACTTGGTGTTGGGTCTCGACCCTTTTCAATAGCCTACCCAAAAAAAATTAATTGCCCCAGTTATGTTATGAACAATATGATATAATTAGGTAAAGTATTTCAATAAACACAAAAAGTCTATTTAATTTCAGTGAGGAACCCACAATTGAGGTCGCCCCTATGGCAGAAATAATGCTAACAATTCAAATCGTGCCTCTAAAGATGAAGGAACCAACATTTGTAAGAATTGAGATATCTTTCATAACTTTCTTATGCAAGTTTCAGATTCAAAAATCGGTGACAACGAGCCAAAAACTGTCCAGAATAGTACTTGGTGACAAAGAAAAAGATTCAGATTCAGATTCAAAAATCAAGTTCTATAATAAGAAGTTATTCATATTCAATCTATTGCATGCAATGTCACAAGACAATCTAAAATATTAAGCTCCCTTCTTCTATAAGCAAGACCCATTAAGGCTCTTACAATAAAAAATAGATTCTAAGGCAACTAACTATTATAAGCTTGTAGAGGTAGTACTGGTGAAATTTTTTGGAACAATTAATATGTACCTATACTCATGTGTTGGATATTTTTCTTTAAGCCGAGAATTTATCGAAAACAATCTCTTATCTCACAAAGGTATAAATAAAGTCTATGTACATCCTACTCTCTCTTAATTTTACTATATTACATGCTAGCGCTAGCCAAATATCCAGGCAGAATATATCTCCATTTTCTTATGCCATCTTGGTAGAGTTCACATCTTTGTACACATTCAGGCAAAGCTTTTACATGTAAAGTTCAAATCTATACATTTTTCCCTGTAACTTTTTATTTTCTCTAACCAACTATTATAATGTGGGGCTTTCATTTTTATGTTTTTCCAGCCAACATACAGTTCTAGCTAAAGACATTCATCACACTATACAATAGGCAAAAGTATATGTCAATTTATCTATTTGATTTTGTTCGCCTTATGTCCAAATTTACTATCAGAAAGAATACAATTAAGAGTTTAAAAATCGAAAGTGTCATCAATAACAATTGTATGTTGCACCAAAACAGATGCACTGCAACAACAGTCCCAAAACATAATTGAACAAAAAAAAAGAGGCACTTCTACTATTTGTGTACTATCGACTTTTAGTAATGACTAGAAGATAAGGAAAATGTATTTTGTCGAAGAATATTTATTGCGTGAAATATATACTTACAAGTTTCTTACGATGCTCCCTTATAGAGATAGATCCACCTGTATGAGTTCCGATAACAGCTTCTCTTCCTCCACGACGATTTTTTTTATTTGTTTCTGACTTCGCAACATTCTCAGGAGCTTGCCAAAGCCTCATCCAATTTTCCCACACAATATCAGTTACATATCCAGGATTAGTTCCGTTCTTTTTTATTCTGGAAATAAAATCGCTATATCGTAGTGATGCCTTAATCTCCCATTGTCTTTTCACTGCATTTTCATTAGTTGAAGAGTCCCAATAGAATTCCTTCTGAAATTAGTTTGTAAAGTAATAACATTAATATCATATCTATAAAAAGTTTATCACTTTCTTAAACTCAATTATAATGAAATAACATACCTTGAATTCTCCAAAATAAAAATCTTTTACAGGTTGCGAGACACCTTTCCAATTGATTCCATTGGGATCAAGTTCATTTTTGAAAGACTTAGCTATGAAAGTAGAGCATGTCGAAGAAGGCTCCAATCTATATAAATTTCAGGACATTATTTAAATACATATGTATCTTATTAAAAATATATATACTAATGATACTATAAGCATGGACTAACCCTGTAGGAGTAAGAGTAATAACTGTTCTCCGCTGCCCACGATTATTGGACTCACCTTCACCAATTGTGCTGCTTTGAGTAGATGCACCCTCTCCTATTTGATTACTTTCATTAGGTGTAATAGGAGATGATTCAACATCGATTGGAATATTATTGTGATTTGGCATTTGAACGGGTGGTGTACTGCTAGGTCCTAGTATTTGAACTTGTTTGTACGATCAAGCCCACCTATATTAGAACTTGTACCACCTTGTTGAGGACTAATGTTGTGGGAATAGGAACAGTAGGCATTTTTGGAGGAATAGCAGAATTACCGCGACCTGAGGATTTTCCTACACGACCTGCACTGCCTCGACCTCTGCCTCGAGCCATATCTTCAAAATATGTAAGTATTGTAAGATCAACACTTGTAAAAGATCAATTATTTTTAAATAAAGTTCATCAGTATGCCCAAATGTTACTAAATTTCATGCATATGACATACTAAAAATTAGAGCTAGAATCTCCTGCAGATTTTAAACAGATGACTAAACAGTCTTTTCGAAGTAAAATTTCAGACATATAAAGTCAAAATAGGGGGAGGAAAACTATAATCAACTAAATAAATGCAACTGAAAAACAATACTAACAGATATCATTGCAGCTACTACAGCACGTCTAAGAAGTGAAGAAAGTAGAAAAGAACATGAGAAGAAAGAGTAACTCATCCCACAATAGTGAAGCTGAATACGTAATAGTACAGAAAACAAAAAAGAAAAAGTTATCGAAAACTTACCTTACTAGTTGCAGCAGTCGAAGAGAAGAGGAAAAAGTCACAATAGTTGAGAATAACCAGCTGAACTCCAAATTTTAAGGAAAATCTATAAAACAAAAGGCAACATCAAAAAATAGAAATCTCAAGTTGAATAAACAAAAAAAAATTCTTAATCATATCGAATAGAAGAAAAAGTCATTCAAATATTATTACATTAAAAAAACATAAACTAAGGAAATAATAATATTATGAAAAATTACTACACTCAAAAAATATTGAAGATACAATAACATATTGTTATTAAGAACTAGTCACTATCTAAATCTTCTTCAAATTCTTCCTCATTCTCCTCAGTTTCTTCAGATTCATACTCCTCCTCAGTTTCTTCAGATTCATACTCCTCCTTAGTTTCATACTCCTCCTCTGTAGATTCTCCAGGGATTTCATGATACTTTGGATGTAACCCATCAATGGGTTCTTCCATTTCAAGTACACCCCCATTTAAATCATGTAAGAGTATTTCTTCATCAACAGAAACATTCATATCTATCTCATGGACTTCAACTTCATTGACTTGAAATGGAACATTCAGTTCTGGAGTTGGTGCCACTTCCTCATCAGGTAATTCCACAACATTACGAGGTTTAACCTTCAATACAGCTAACCAATCAATCTTGTCCTTTTTCTTGCTAGGATATGGGACATAACACACTTGTGTTGCTTGCATTGCAAGAATAAAAGGTTCATACTTTTTATACCGACGACGTTGGTTAACATCAATCAATTTGTATTGATTATGCTTCTTCACACCAACATCTATAGTTGGGTCAAACCATTCACACTTGAATAAGACAGTTTGCTTTAAAGGTTCTTCACGGTATTCCACTTGTATAATCTCTTTTATCTGTCCATAGTAATCACCAGAATTTGGATCTGAGATACAAACTCCACTGTTCATTGTTGATCTAGCGCTACCATAACATTCTGTATGAAATTTGTATCCATTAACAAAATACATTGAATGACATGTAGCGCCTATTAATGGTCCATGAGCAAGGCTACGCAAGAATTTATTCTCTATATGATTGCATCGGACCTATTTAAAAAAAGACTTAGTTAAATTCACAAGACAATTTAGGTTACATTACTATATCAAAGTTAATGATCGTTGGAGACTTACGTATTCCTTAAACCATATAGAAAAATATGCCTCAAGGCTCTCATCTATCTGACACTGTGATAAATTGGGAGATTCTTCTTGCAAACGTTGCACGTACATACTTCATTAATACAAAATAAGTTAAATAGAAAGTCATAATATATTAATATGTTTCTAATATTAGGTGAAAATAAATTTTAAATACTACCTCACAAATGGCTCAACCTCTTCACAATTTAGTAATATGTAAGTTTGAGCGGCCTTGATTTCATCAAGTGATAAATTTCTTTTTCTTGTCTCTCCCCATAGTCAACCTGGATGGGTGAATATTGATAGATTTCCTTCAAGATCCTCCGTAATACCACCATCATCATTACGGTCCACATTATGATTACGTGTCATGACATGAGGTTCAAAATAATGAGAAAATAATAGTGTTGACTATGTCATCAAGTATGCTTCACAAATAGAGCCCTCAACACTAGCTTTATTTCCAATCATCCTTTTAAGAGTTCCAAGGTACCTTAATAGATAATAAATGAATGTACCATCATATTAGAATTACCAAGTATAACATGCTTGTCATAATTTTGTCATAAAATTTCACATTTACCTTTCAAAAGGATACATCCATCGATATTGTACAGGTCCAGCGATCTTTGTTTCATATGGTAGGTGCACAGGCAAATGTTCCATCGAGTCAAAGAACCCTGGAGGAAATATACGTTCTAACTTACACAAAATTTGTGGGATATCTGCTTCTAATCTCTCCATGTCATCCACTCGTAGAGTGGTTGAAGTAAGATCTTTAAAAAATAAGCTCAACTCTGTAAGTGCTTGCCACACATTACTAGGAAGTAATTCACGAAAAGCAATAGGCAAAAGTCTTTGCATGAACACGTGACAATCATGACTTTTCATGCCATATAGCTTTTTCGTATTTGTGTCTGGACATCTACCCAAATTTGAAACATACCCATCTGGAAATTTCAAATCTTTGACCCAATTAAACAAGATAGCTTTTTCTTCCTTGTCTATTGTGTATACAGCTTTGGGGTATTTACCATTTGAATCCTTTGCCAACTGAGGTCGATCACAATAGTTTACCATATCCAAACGTGATTGTGAATTGTCTTTGGTTTTATCAACAATATTAAGAACCGTGTTAAATACATTATCAAAGACATTTTTCTCAATATGCATGACATCAAGGTTATGTCGAATCATGTTAGAACTCCAATATGGCAAATCCCAAAAGATACTTTGCTTTTTCCATCCACAAGACTTACATATTCTTCGATTAACCTCTTCTGCATCTAACTCAGTTACTTTCCTTATCCCTAAGTCACAAATTTGGTTCAAAATCTCCTCTCCTATTTTGTAAGGTGGTGGAAATCTTTTGACAGTCTTGCCTTTAAAAAAGTTTTTACGATCTCTCCGGAAAGGATGATGTTGGTCAAGAAACATCCTATGACTGTCAAACCAAGATGTTTTTCTACCATGTTCTAATCTAAAGGATTGTGTCTCCTCCATACAATAAGGACAAGCTAACTTGCCCGCAGTACTCCATCCTGATAACATAGAATATGCTGGAAAGTCACTTATAGTCCACATCAAAGCTGCCCTTAGTTGAAAGTTTTGCTTTTTTGAAATGTCAAATGCTTCTATACCTGTCTCCCACAACAAGGTCAACTCCTTTATTAGAGGTTGCAGATAAACATCAATTTTATGTTTGGGATTGTTTGGCCCTGGAATAATGACAGTTAAGAACATATACGCTTCCTTCATGCACATTCCTAGAGGTAAATTATATGGAGTTACAATCACTGGCCACGAAGAGTATTTCCTCCCAGTCTGACTGAATGGTTGGAAACCATCCGTACATAACCCCAATCTTACATTTCTTGGTTCATTGGCAAAAAAGGTATGAGTTTCATTGAAGTGTTTCCAAGCATTAGAGTCTGATGGATGACGCATTACCCCTTCGTCCTGTGTATGCTCATGATGCCATCTCATATCAGCAGCTGTAGCATGAGATGCATATAATCTTTTTAATCTAGGGATCAAAGGAAAATAATACATTTTCTTATAAGGGACCAATTTCCGCTTACGAGAGCCTACACGACGCTTATACCTCTGATTGCCACAAAATTTACAAGATGTAAGGTTCTCATCATCGCCCCAACATAACATACATCCTGATTCACAACAATCAATCTTCTCAACTGGCAAACCCAAGCTACGCACCAATTTCTTTGTTTGATAATAGTTATCAAGCACTATGTTATCTTCAGGTAAAGAATCTTTCAACAATTGCATCATTTGGTTGTAACCTCTCTGTGACATGTTGTTCTCCATTTTAATGTTTAACATCCTAGAGACAACTTCAAGTTGAGAGACGGAGGAACCGGGATACAATTTTGCATCAGCGGCATGTAGTAAATCATAAAATCTTTGAGACTCAGGATTAGGCTCCTCCTCCATTGGAAGATCAGACGCCTCCTCTATTGAAGGATTGATCTCCTCCTCCATTGAAGTTTCATAAGTATGAGATGACTCATGTTCAATATTGCTTTGAAATTGTCGACTCAAACCTTGATCAAAGTTTGAACCAGCTACATCCAAAACCATTTGTCGGTACGGATTATCATATCCCAATTCAGGTTGAGTTCCACCATGCAAATCATTAACATAATACATCTCATCAATAGCATCTTCTTCCCCTTGATATTTCCAAACAAAATAGTTCTCAACAAATCCGTATTGAAAAAGGTGATATTTAACCATTTCAACATCCATGTATTTAAGGTTATGACATTTTTTACAAGGACATTTAATGTTGTCACCACTCATACAATTTTTTTGTGAACATGCATACTGAATAAAGTTATTCACACCGGTTATAAAACTGGAGAGTATACCCCCTCGTCCATCCAACCTCTCATACATCCAACCACGCTTCAAATTACTCATGTTCCTATAAATTTTAGAATAATCAAGACAATCAAAAATTTCTCTTATATAAGTTATACAATCTGGATGTCCTACAAAGAAAAGATCATATTAAAATACCTTTATGAAAAAGAGTATATCTTTGCACTTTTTAAATCATTCGCCGCCTTTTCTGTTAATATAAGTGTTCTTGATCACTGTCCAGTTATCTTAAAATATATTATTCTATTAATCTTCAGTTACAAAAAGTGCAATAACAAGAAAATGATAAGTTGCAGGAAGTGCAATGTCAAGGAAAGGTTCATACTGAAATACCTTTATTAGTTCTCCTTTATGTTTTTTTATCACTGTCCAGTTAGTTTAGTATGATTTGACCCAACTATAATGTTATTTTAAAATAGTGTACTCTCTTAAATCCCTACACATAAATGATATGATGATTTGTTCTACTACTAATTCTAGTTTAGGCTAATTAAATGTCAAGTCATTTGATAATTATAAGCCTAAAGTTAGATCATAAAATAAGTACTACACTTGTATTGTACTCTAATTATTGTAAAGTTACAAAAAGTGTGATGCCAAAAAGATAATACAAATATTACTACAAACAATCAAGAAAGTGGTTTGAATTTCATTTCTCTTGCTAGTAACTAATTTCTAGTGTTACGATTGTAAATATAATGGAGTACCAAATAAAAATCATACCGAGGAGCTGAAAAGTTGAGAAAAGGTGGATGAAAAGAGAAGGATGCAGGGCGAGTGAAATTAGTGGAACAAGACGAGATTTGAGAGCCTTGAAAGATTGCAACGTCAGCAAAATCTGTGTATAACATTTGAAATATTAACGACCATAGCATAATTATCCCATGTCTGCTCACAATCAATACCTTTCTGAAAGGTTCATCAAGCATAAAGATGGACAACCCAAAATATTAAACAAACTAAGAGAGATAAGTAGAACTTACGTAAACTTGATATAGTTGTTCTTAGGATAAATAAGCAGCAACACGTTCACGAAGAAGCAAAGGTCCACATATTCTCCACAAACTATAATAACACCATGTGGAAAAGAAAAAAATACAAACTTAAATATCATTGTATGTTGATCAGGTGAATTTCTTTACATAAATAGAGGAGCACAAAGAAAAGAAACAGAGAAGTAGAGCAGAGAAAACAAGCAGTTACTTAATAGCTATGAAAAATTAAACTTTGCATACTTTACATTAAATCTAAAATTTGTGAAAGACATGTTAATCTGATTAACCATCAGAGATCTCAATCACTTGTATCTAATCCAGCAGAGTATGACAACGAGAACTCAAGAAGAATCTTTCATTTGATATGGAGCAAGGAAAAAATCTTTAGATACACCAAAATTTGATTGACTTACTGCAGAAATTTAGGTACAGATTGGATGAAAATTTTGCTAGTCTCTTCTTGATTTACTTTCTTGTGTGTGGCAAAAAAAAGTTGATGGCAATAGATGTCATTTTTTGTTTGTTTGTTATTCATTTCTTTAATTATGTGTATGAATAGAAAATCATTTTTTGTTTAGTTTATGAACAACTTCTTTAAGTTGATAATGTTAATTCTTATCTAAAACTCTCTTTCTTGAACCATTTTCATTAACTTGTATTTAATTCGACAATGTTTGACAATACGTAAAAATTATAATTGAATCAGCTACTAAATACATATCGAAATTACTAATCGACTATCACAAATAAACATTTTTTCTTTAAGTCATGACTTTGACAAACCAAGAAAAATGAAATAGAATAAGATAGAGAAAGAGAGCTTACTTGGTTAGTTGTTCTTAGGACAAACAGGCAGCAAACACATTCACGAAGAAACAAAACTCCACACATGTTTCATAAGCTACAATAAGGCCTTCTAAAATAGAAAAAAAAAATAGAATTTAAACACCACTATATATTCTCATAAAACGAGTTATACGATGCCTATACTAAACTTTTCAAATTAACAATTTCAAAATAGAAAAATACAAACAGAAGTTAAAAATAGAACTCAAAGACCCAACAAGCATAGCAAAATGTATTCCTGATAATGCGCAGAATCCTGTTGCTGTTCAAGCTAAACCCAGATAGAAAAAGTGACTACTAACAACAAAAAAGTAGTCTTATTCACAGTTGATTACTAACAACAAAAAGTGATTATGTTAAGATCTGGTTTTGACATCTTTTATAATATCACTAATCTCTTAAAACAAACCCTAATTGCAAAGTGTAACTCGATTATGGCAAAATCATTCTTCCAAGTAGAACCCTTGTCTCATATTTCAAGATTACCAAAACCCACAAACAAAATCAACACAAATCCATAGAACACATCTTAATATACAAAAAATAAACTCGAAATTAGAGTATACAAAAGTTAGTACAACTCACTTGATTTTGAATTCAAAAATTGATAGAAACTCATTGATTTCTCACATTGAAGAGAGTGAAAGAGCAATTAGTAGCGTATTTGAAGAATGGGGAAGAGGAATAGTTGAAGAGCCGAAGAGAGACAGTGGGAGAGCTCAAAGCTTTTGTTAGTAGAATGGAGAGGGAATTTTTGTGTGCCCTAACTTATCCCTAAATTTTTATTTTATTTTGCGACGGATTTAACGACATATAAAATTCCGTCGCTAACAAACATCTTTGATTTATTTAGAATGGAAACTAACGACAGATTTTTCTGTCGCTACAAAATATAAAATTTATAAATAAATACTAAAAGTTGTAACGATGAATTTTCCGTTGCTAATCCGTCGTTCAAAATTAATTCAATTTGTCGCAGCCCTTCCGTTGTTAAATTCGTAGGAAATATTAAGGCGCCAACTTTTCGCGCTAATAAATAGTGACGGAATATACAATCCGTCGCCATTACGTCGCTATAGAATTAAAAATAATTTGCTTATTATTATTGCGACAAAATATTTATTCTGTAGTTAAACCGTCGTTATATAGCAACGGAATATAGTCCGTCGCTATAGTCCGTCGCTAAACGCTGTTTTTTTAGTAGTGATTGTCATTCTTAGTGTTGAATTGATTTGCTTTTTGCATTAGTATTAATTTGATTTTGATTTAAGTTTTATTATAATTATCAACATCTATGAACTATAATCTTTATTGGACCATTCCGATTTCTAAGTTTTAAACTTGAAATAATATATTAAAAGATAAAAACTATGAAATAGCATAAGAAATATTTTAAAATTATATCAAAGTAAATATTTTTATGCATAAAATAAAATTTTAAAATTACATATATAATGTCGGGTTGGTTTGGTCTCGGGTTGGTTTTTTTTAGTTAAAACTAAACCAACCCAAATATAGTCGGGTTTTTTTTCCAATACCAAACCAAGTCAAACCAAACAACTAGTCAGGGTTTTTTTCCGATTTGACTCGATTTGTGGTTTGGTTCAGTTTTCGGTTCGGTTTTGTATACCCCTAGCTGCTATGGCCAATGGACGACCTCCTTTCAAGGCTGTCCAGCTCGCCCCACCACCCCAAACTACCACATGTGCCACCCTTTTCAATTCCAATACTCTAAATCCTAAAAAATCTCCTCTAATTAACTAAAAAACAATCGTAAAATCAATCGAAATAATTCATGGAGAACCTACTATCACATTTTCAATGGAGGAAAGGCAAAACTTTATGATCAAAGAGGGATTGCATCAAGTAGTGGTGTTTAAATTATCCCATGGTGCGCTAGATTTGAAGGTATTAAGGTCAATTTTACAGAAACATCTTGGTACCAAGGGCAATTGTTTAATTGGCTTACTTGCTCCAAGACAAATTTTATTGAGGTTTGATCAATATGAATATTATATACTAGCTTATCTCACTCAGTTAATTATCTTCTCAACGATAGAGAGGATCACCAATGTAGGGTTTTTCCATGGTCCATTGGATATAATCCTAAGGAGGAAACGACGTTAGCTGTGGTTTGGATTTCTTTACCAAACTTATCTCCATATTTGTTTGCAAAGAAGTCTTTGTTGTCTATAGCATCGAAAGTTGGAAAACCAATAGCTATAGATAAAGCTACTCAAATCAAGTCAAGACTAGCAAGGCTAGGGTCAAGGTTATACTTGATCTAATGAAAAAGCTTCCAAATCGTATATGGTTGCAATTTGTGGATAGAAAATATGGTAAGCTGTTTGAGGTTTTTCAGGAGATTGTATATGTAATCTACCTTTGTAGTGCAATTATTGTAAGCACCAAGGCCATGATGAAGATAGTTGTCGTTTGCTCTCGAAAAGAAACCAAAATAACAAAAAAATTGATGATACCATTGAAGTTGTTTTAAAAGGTACTATCGATAGTGAAAAGTATCAAGGTGATGTGAGAGAAATACTGAATAAAAAAAGAAAGATTGTAGATGTTGATCAAAGGAAAGATACTTCTTTAAATCGACAATTGGTTGCTGCCACTTTTGAGCAAAATCGTGCAAACTTAATGGAAGTTGATACAAGTAATATTGGTGTATGTTCAAAAAAATATTGACAACAAAGGTGATTGCAACAACCAACAGGCTGCTACTAATGAGGTGCAATCAAAAGAAGCTGGGCTGAATTTGATGTCTAATGCAACTAAAAAGGCAGGGGGAACACCAAGAGTTGGGGTTGATGCACCGCGAGTTGGTTCAGGGCAAAAATTAATGGATTCAAGACAAAAACTAATGGACACATCTGATGTTGAATACGCTGAAAAATCTGGGCAGCATGTTTTGCAAGTTGAAAACGAGAATGCAACTAAAAACTGGACACTAGTTGCACACAAAAATTCAACTAGTAGTCGGACCCTTTACCCGACTAGTCAAAATAATTATCCATT